TGTTTTAAACCCACTGTTGAGACTTACTGCTCAGAAAAAAAGATTCCTTTCAAAGTATTACTGTTCACTGACAATATACCTGGTCACCCAAAGGTTCTGATGTAGATGTTCAAGTTTAATATTTTCATGCCTGCTACAGCATCCATTCTGCAGTCCATGGATCAGGGAGTAATGTCAACTTTCAAGTCTATTTAAGAAATAAATTTCATAATACTACAGCTACCATAAACAATGATTCATCTGATTAATCTGGGCAAAGTAAATAGAAAACCTTCTGGAAAGGATTCAACATTCTAGATACCATTAAGAACATTCATGAGTCATGGAAGGATGTCAAAATATCAACATTAACAGGAGTTTGAAAGAAGCTGATGCCAACTCTCGTGGATGACTTTGAGTAGTTTGAGACTTCAGTGGAGAAAGTAACTGCAGATGTATTGGAAATAGCAAGAGAACTAGAAGTGGAGTCTGAAGATGTGACTGAATTGCTGCAATCTCATGATAAAACTTGAATGAGTCAGGAGTTGCTCCTTATGAATGAGCAAAGAAAGTGGTTTCTTGAGATGGAATCTACTCCTGGTGAAGATGCTGTGAACTCTGCTAAGCTGACAGTAAAGGACTTAGAATACTGCATAAACTTAGTAAAGCAGTGGCAGGGTTTGAGAGGACTCCAATTTTGAAAGAAGTTCTACTGTGGGTAAGATGTTATCAAAGAGCATCTCACGCTACAGAGAATTCTTTACAAAAAGATTACAATGCACTGAAGGTTCAGACAAACACTGGCAATTTTTTTTCAATAAACTATTTTTAATTAAGGTATATACTTTTTTTTTAGACATAATGCTGCTGAATACTTAACAGACTGCAATACAGTGTAAACATACTTTTATATGCACCACAAAACCAAAAACTTCACGTGGCTTGCTTTATCACAATATTTGCTTTATTGTGGCAGTCTGGAATCAATCTCACAATATCTCCAAGGTATGCCTGCAGAATGGTCAGGATGTGGTGAATCAGATATGAGATTGGGAGGAGTTAAGGATGAACTCCAGGTTCTGGCTCAGGTAAACGGCTATTATAGACTGAACTATGTCCCCCGAAAACTCCTATGTTAAAATCCTAACCCCCAATGTGACTATATTTAGAGGAAGGGTCTTTAAAGGAGTAATTAAAGTTATATGAGGTCATAAAGATGCAGCCTTAATCCAATGACTCATGTCCTTATAAGAAGAGAAGATTAGGTCACAGATATATCTATGCACAGAACAAAGACCATATGAGGAAACAGGAAGAAGATGGTCAACCTGCAAGCCAAGAAGACAGGCCTCAGGAGAAACCAAACCTGCCAACACCTTGATCTTGGATTTCTGGTATCCAAAACTATGAGAAAATAAATTTCTGTTGTTTAAGCCACTAGTCTGTAGCATTTTGTTATGGCAGTCTTAGCAAACAATAAACTTGGTGAATGGTAGGTACCAATTTACTGACCTGGGAGTAGACCTAGGAGATACCAAGTAGAAATGTCCAGGTGGCTGTTGACTATTCATGTTGGCAGAATGAACCAGAGGTAGAGATCTAGGGGTGGTAAATGAAAATGGAACCATGAAAATGAATCATATATAACTTATGGAGATGTATAGAAGTAAACTAAGAAGGTCACAATGGAGTTCTAGGAAACACCTCTAGCTGGACTCTAAAAGAAGAGGTACCCCTGAAGAAATGTGAAAATAGGTAGAGGAAAACAAGGAAAATCTGGAGAGATTAGGCCCATGAAAACTAAGAGATGAATACTAAAGAAGTTGGCTCAACAGTGCCAACTTTAACAAAAAGATCAAGTCAGATAAAGACTGAGGTTAATAAATTATAGATCAATGGTCTCCTTGATAATAAAATTATCAGTGTCTGGTTAACAGTAGATGCCAAGCACCAATGAGCTTAGGCATGGTTGAGGAAGAAAGTAGAGACAAAAAAGGCAGACAGCTCTCAGGAGGCTTAGTAATTAAAGATGGAAAAAATGGCTGGAAAGGGACATCAAGTTCAAAGAGGGGGTCCACAAATGTAAAATTCTTCATCACATATAGCCATTAAAGGAGAGGCTAAAGATGCAGAAGTGAAAAAAATTTTTTTAGTCAGTCTTACTCTGTCACCCAGGTTGGAGTGAAAAGGCATGCTAACTGCTACCGCAGACTTGACCTAGTGGGCTCAGGCGATCCTTCTGCCTTAGCCTTCCAGGTAGCTGGAGCTGCAGGCACACGCCACAATGCCCGGTTAATTTCTTGATTTATTGTAGAAACAAGGTCTCACCAAGTTGCCCAAGATGGTCTGGAACCCCTGGGCTCAGGCAATCCTCTCGCCTTCACCTCCCAAAATGCTAGGATTACAGGGATGAGCTACCGTGCCTGGCTTGGAAGTGAAAACTTTTTAAAGAAAAGACAAGGTGGATCAAAAAGAAAGGCCAGGCTTGGTGGCTCAGCCTATAATTCCAGCACTTTGGGAGGCTGAAGAGAGTGGATTGCCTGAGCCTGCAGGTTTGAGACCAGCCTGGGCAACTTGGCAAAACCTCATCCCTACAATAATTCGAAAATTAGCCAGCGTGGTAGCACGCATCTGTAGTTTCAGCTGCTTGGAAGGCTGAAGCAGAAGGATCTCCAGAGCCCAACAGGTCGACGCTGGAATGACCATGAACATGCCACTGCACTCCAGCCTGGGCCACGGAATGAAACTCCAACTCAAAAAAAAAAAGAAAAAGGCACAGGTGGATGAATGATACTCACATGGAATGGGGGCATTTTTTCCACTGTGATAGCAAAAGAGGTAAGGATGAATGTAGACAAGTATGTAGGTGGAAGAAAAGAAACAGAGGTCTCTCTACCTAGCATTCTCTGGCTTCATTATGAAGTAAGAAAGTACAGTCCATCCACTGAAAGTGAGAGGGGTGTGATAAGGGACAAATGATGGGATGGCTCAGCAGCCCTGAGGACCCAGCTAAGGTCAGAGACAAAAATGTATAGTGGCCTCTCTGCAGCTATGTGATTTCTCCAGCAGTTGTACTGTAGGAAAGGGAAGTCATAGAGTAGCCCACAGTAGGGTTTTGCTAAGGAAAAGCAGTGCAAGATTGGACATAAGTGACCCCAGGAAGAGTTGGGCTGCCCCCATCTTTGCTTTCCCATCATGTGTTTCCTTCTTAGTTTTATCCTTAGCCGAGGAAAGCAGCTCTCATCCCTAATATCAAGATCTAACACTCCTGTTTCACAAGAAATACTTTGTTAGTATCTACCTTTATTGTCCCCAGGTCAAGTCATAACCTACTTAACAGACATAAGTTTAAAAGATCCACTTAATGCCCTAAGGGTAATGAGATATAAAATGAAATTTATAATAAAATATGCATTTCAATTTGCATATCTCAAGTATAATTACAAGAAAAGATTTAATGAAGTAGTCAGATGCTCATGGCTGTATGCAAAACCCCCAGGAAGATACAGGTACAATCATGACTACTCAAGGCATGTTATATTTAAAACTCAAACCATGAGTCATGTGATGGGTCCCTCAGGAGCAGTAAAAATCAACCAATTGCTGCATTTTTTAAAAGGTGTTTGAAGTCTCAGGTTGTTAGAAAAGAACTGGAATGCTTTGGCTTGTGTCAGGCAACTCAGTACCTCAGAGATGGAGAAAACAGCAAATATGTAAAAATATAAGCAGTTTATCATCTCAGCTTCTTGGGTTACCACCTCATTTCCTATAACTCAAAAGTTTGGTAAGAGAATCCTGTCAGGGGTGATCATTTTGGATAAGAAGCACAAGAACAGTCTGAATTGAGGGCTCTGACCATCTTCTTCATGTTACCCAAACAGAAACCAAAACACCTCTTATCTAGACAGACAGTAGAGAGCAAAAAGGACTTCAGGAGGGAGAAAGATGAATTAAAGGCAGCTTGAGCTAGTCTATAGGCACTACCACCGAGTTAATTCTTTTTAATACTGCAGTGTCTCCTTCTCTACCTAAGATGTCTCATTATTGATGAGGACATCTCTTCTTAATGTCATATTTGTGCATAAAATGCCTCTGCAGATTTCAGACCTGAGCCCAGCAGTCACAGCTTGCCAGATGGGAAACTGCAAAGCCTGGAGGCCAGGGCTCCAACCAGAGTCTCAATGGAGCAATGAATATCCTGGCTGGGCCACTGTTCCCACAATTTCAGGAATCCCCTATCCAATACTCTGCTTTCTTATTAAGTAGCTGGGTGGGTTTAGGAAGCAGGGGCTGAGGGTTGCTGGGTTTCAGTTAAAAATAAAACAAACTCTCAGAGGAACAGCAGACAGAGGGGTTCCCAGGGTCAGTGGGGGAAAGCAGACTCTAAATGAAAATGTGTGCAGAGCAGATGGCAGGACGTACATGGTAGGATACCTAGGAGTTCTCATTTTGCCACTTATGATCGGGACACTCTGAATCTGTTTTCTCATATGTAAAGTGAGGATGGTTGTAACAATACTTACCCTTACCAACCTCAGAAGACTGGGTGGAAAAGGCTGAATGACTTGTTATATGCAAAGACACTTTGTAAAACACTTTACAGCTGTGTTATTATTGTTGCCATCATTATTTTTAAGGAAGCAGCAGAGCCATGAAGATAATGATCCTACAGTTCCTTAGGGCTTTGGGGCAGTCAAACAACAAATGATCACACATTTCACACAAGGCAAGCCATGCTTCCTAGTCTACTCACCAGTGAGAAAAACAAGGATGAAAGACAACTTGCCAAGAGTGAGTGTGCCTATTTTAAGTCAAAAAAGAATAGCTGAAAAAAACCTATATGGCTGAAGACTGTTCAGTTTCTCTTAGGTTTTTGAGAAATATACTTTTCCAAAAACTTCCCTAATATGTGTTCCACTAGATATTACCCAAAGTGATTTGATGATGAAATCAGTGTGGGCACAGGTTTCCTTACCCAGGACCTTCTTGGAGACCTTAATAATGAACTTCCAATGAGGAGATGGGGTGCAGGGATTGCCAAATTTATTTAATAACAGAACCCCTTTTCCACAGAGCATCTGACAAGGGGTTTCATGAAACATACTTTGGGAATTAAACTTAACTCTCCAGTTGGACGTAATGTTATGTGGGCACATGGACCAGCTTAAAAGGGAAATGAGAATACTTTAACATTCAATCAGCAGTAGGCAGCTGCTGGACATTTTAGAAAAAGGAGAAATCTATTTGTTAGCCATGGCACTGAAATAGCATCACATTTCCCTGAACCACCCTAGTCCCAACCCCTCAAGATCCACCAGCTATGCAACCCCACACTCCAGTCACATACATTAAATCTACACTTTTTATTTTTTTGTTCTAAAATGTGCTTTTTCCTCAATGAACTTTAATATCAGTCCAGGACCTCCACCTCCCCTTAAAAAAACAAAATAAAACACGCACACAGACACACATGCCACCCTCCAACCAGGTGAAAAATCCCCGGCGTTTAGTCTATAACACATATTGACACGAGGGGGGACAAAAGCATGTTGAAATGTATTAGAATCAGAACCTGTACAAAAAAAAAAATTAAAATATAACCTGAAACTGTTCAAGTTTAGAAAGTCTAGTTAAGTCCTTTTCTCTTGCCAGGAGAATGCCATCATCAGAGGGCTCTGGGTCATCAGCCAACGAGGGGTAGAAAGAAAGACAGAAGCAGCAGCAGGTCCTTCCCCAGGCAGAGTGGCCTCGGTGCTACCATCCCCACCCCAGGTACAGCCGGAAGAAATTAAAGATCTCGGGAGAGCAAGTGTTGGCAGACAGCCCCAGTGGGCAGCTGGGGACTACACATGGAAAACAAGGCTGAGTAGTCAGAGGCAGCAGGAAAATTGCCAGCAGAGAACACCAAGCCGGAAGAAATAACTTCTGCTACCCATGGACCCACAACACCCTCCATCTGTGCTTGGATACCAAAGGTCAGTCAACTCAGGGCTCCCAACTAGTGAGAGATCGGAGCTGGGCTTAAGAGGCTGAAAACCCACAGGTTTAGTAAACATAGCCCAGCATCACATCCCTCCATGGCCTGAAGTGGAGCTGCCAACAGGGGTAAGGCAGGAGAGGGAAAACAAAGCATTTTGATACCTGGCTAGAGATCGCCTGCACCATTGTGGGTACTGTGGTACATGGGGCTGGAAAAGGAATGCCCCTCCTCTCTTGGGGAGGGGCCTCCTTCGCAGTCATCCCTGGGGGCCTACTAAAGCTGCCTCGGGCTTATGCCCAGCCTGACAAAATGACATGGAGCAAAAGAAAAACTGAGAGGGAGACAAGCCCTTACACAGAGACAAGAACCTCCTGGAGGGAAGCTGGGCAGTGTCCGACCCTGTTAGGATGGCATTGGTGGAGCCCCTGAGTCTGAAGGGAACAACTGGGGAAGGAGGAAGTGGGTGAGGGAAAGGAGTAACGGTTTTTCTGGAACAGTACCAATGGGGGTGAGGAGGTGCTGGTGAGGGGACGGGCAGGTCTGGAACTCACTGCAGGTAGAGAGGGGAGGAAATAGGCCCTTGGTGTCCCCTCCCCACCTGACCCAGGCCTGGTGAGTGCCAGCTGCCCCAGCCAGCCCTAGTGGCGGCTGGAGACCAGACCTTTCACTTTGGACATCTTCTTGGTGGGCTGTCTCTGCTCAGCATGAGGGGGACACTCCCGTTCGGTCAGCTGCTGCTCCATCTCCTGAGCTGAGGAAGATGCGGTGGCTTTGAGTGTCTTCTTGATGTTGGTAACCTGGAGGGAGAGAGAATTGGTGTGCTCAGCCTATAAGCACCAGCAAATCAACAAAACCTGCTCTCAATATAAGGAGGGCCACACAGAAAAGAAACTAAAATCTTCATGTTCAGGAAGAAAATCTGCAAGAAAATGTGAAATCATCTCCAGAAACTGAGATAAGGAGAAATAAGCATAGGCTATTCATGGAAGGTATGTGGAAATGAGTCAAGCAAAAACATGGAACGAATGCTCTCTTGGTCAAAACAACTGGAAATGGACCATTAGGCAAAGAGGTACAACACAGAAAGTAACAAAGTGTCCTGAGAATAAGAGTGATTCAAGAATTCAATATTCAGCTAACTCTTGTTCATGTATAAAGTCGCTAATTTTTTCACAAGAACTTTGGAAACACAGCTCCACAAACCCTTCCAGAACAGACAAGTAGAGGATGAACTTTAGCTAAGTGACAAATGAAGAAAACTTAGTAAAAGCTAGCAAAATGCTATCACACTACTGCTTAGAGCATATCTTTTTTTGCTTAACAAAGAAAGGGCTCAAAAACATTTAAGCAGTTCCTGAATGTTTTTCCATGTTGCAACAGATACCTCTGTACTTCCTGTGCACTACTCTAAAGTTTCTTCAGTTTTTAAACTGGTTCCCAGTTTGTTTTTTGGTGCTAGTATGAATAGCCTTCTATGTTTACCTTTGCATATTTTGGTGAAAACCGTAGAAGATATACCTAGAAGTGAGCTTTCCAGTCAGAGGATCCACATATTTATATCTGAATCAGTATTGCTCTACTGTCTTCTGAAAAATGACTGTACCAACCTGTACTTCTGCCAACCGTGTGCTCCAGGAGTGCCTATTTATATACACACATTCCCTGACACCAGTTCTCATGGATCTTCTCTACCTTTGTCTTCAGCTCATTGAGAAGAAGAAAAAGGGGAGGAAAAGCAGTAAGATGGAGATGGCAGGGAAGAAATGTCCACTCAAATAAATATTATCTTTTTAAAAAAAATCATTAGAAGGAATTAAAAAGAGAAAGTTGGTACAAAGTGAGGCCTATGTCTGTTGATGAGAAGACATAGGAGCTTCCCTTATTTGGTGACTTCCATGTTCTCTGAGAAGCAGGAGGTTTGGTTTTTTGCAAAGTGAGAAGGAAATTCTTGGGTCAAAGGTTCTGAATAATCAGAATATCAGGAGTTTGAGTCAGAGACAGTCCACATGCACAGATAAAACAGTGCTATGAGAGTGAGACAAAAGCTAGATTCCTGAAGGACAGCCATCATCTGCAGGATCAACCTCGACTAGAGTGTAGGTTGTTTTTGTTTCCGTTGTTTTGAAATGGGGGTAACAACCATGCCCCAAACTGCTATAACCTCAATCAACACTGTAACCTTTTTGAAGGAAGAAAGACTGAGCAGAGTGAGCTGGGACCATCAATATAGAAAGCAGTCTAATTCAAGTCTGGGTTTATTCAGAGTCTTGTCAGACCACAAAACACCATCTGGGAAGCTCTCAGGTATCCCACCCTCCTGATGGCTCACTGCTGCTTTGGTATCTCTCGTTCAGTAGAGTCCCTCGGGGAACTGGTGAGTGAAGAATGGTGAGCAAGTCAATAGCTTACTACTCTTTGTCTCACAAAAAAGGTATCTGTAATTGTTTGTCTTATTTCAAGGCATTTTTTAAAATAATAGAACCAGGGCCCCACTATTTTGCCTAGGTTGACCTTGAACTTCTGGGCTCAAGTAATCCTCCCGTCTCAGCCACGTAGCTGCAGCTGTGACGCAGATGCATGCAACCAAGCCTGGCTAAGGTATATTTTAATGGCGTTGAAGGAAAGTTTAAGAAATGTCATTCTCAGTTAACGGTACTTTATAAAATAACATTTCAAGGCTGTCCCAGTTCGGTATACTTTCTAAGTATCAGGAAGCAGAATTTTTTTTTAAGTTGGGATCTCACTCTATCACCCAGGCCGGAGTGCAGTGGCACACTCATGGCCACTGCAACCTTGACCTGATGGGCTGAGGCAATCCTTCCACCTCAGCCTTCCAAGTAGCTGGAACTACAAGCAAGTGCCACCACACCCGGCTAATTTTTCTTGATTTATTATAGAGACGAGGTCTTGACAAGTTGCCCAGGCTGGTCTTAAACTCCTGGGCTCAGGTAATCCTCTGGCCTCCGCCTTCCAAAGTGCTGGGATTACAGGCATGAGCCACCGCATCTGGCTAATTATAATTTTAATAAGATATAACAGCATGATTTAAGTTTATTTCTATGTATGTCAGTTACCTCTGACTTCCAAGTATTAAAAGATCCTGCAACTTGGCTGGTACATGTGGCTCATGACTGTAATCCCAACACTTTTGAGAGGAAGAGATGGGAGGATCCCTTGAGCTTAAGAGTTCAAGAACAGCCTGGGCAACATAGTGAGACTTCACTACAAAAAAATTTTTATTTTTACTTTTTTGAGTTGGAGTCTCACTCTGTCACCCAAGCTGGAGTGTAGTGGCACACTCACGGCCACTGCAGCCTTGACCTGATGGGCTCAGGCAATCCTACCGCCTCAGCCTTCCAAGTAGCTGGAACTACAGGCATGTGCTACCATGCCCAGCTTGCTTGCTTGCTTATTTATTTATTTATTATTGATTGATTGATTGATTGCAGAGATGAGGTCTCACCAAGTTGCCCGGGCTGGTCTCAAACTCCTGGACTCAGGGAATTCTCTCGCCTTGGCTTCTCAAAGTGCCGGGATTACAGGCTTGAGCCACCACACCTGGCCTACAAAAATTTTTTAATATAATTTGGGTGTGGTTGCATGCACCTGTAGTTCCAGCTACTTGGGAGGCTGACACAGGATGCCTTGAGGCCAGGAGTTGGAGGCTGCGGTAAGCTGTGATCATGCCATTGTATTCCAGCCTGGACAACAGAGTAAAACCCTGACTCAAAAAAAAAAAAAAAAAAAAAAAAAAAATGCTGCAACTTATCATTACCAAAGAAAATTTGTTTCAAGGTTTTCCCAAAACCTGACAAAACTTGAATCAAGTTAAGACATTAGAAAATTAACAAATTTTTGTTTCAAGAACTGTATTTACAAAAATAGTATCTTTCCAAGCAAATAATTTCCTTTCTCATTTAACAAAATAACTTTATTAAAAATTTAAAAATAAAACCAAAAGAAGTCCTTAATTTCACCTTGGCTAATAAACACTATTTAATCTTATTTCCTCAAGTTATCTGTGTAATAATTTTTACTAAGCAATCAGCTTATACTATAAATAGTTTTCTATATTGATTCTTTCATTTAACATATCTTAGATTTACTGACAGTCTCATAACTCTTGTAAGAGTAAGGAAAAAGGATTTAATCAATCCCCAAATAATGGTTATATCTTCAATCTGTTTCACCTGTGTTTCTGTAGAATAAAGTCATTACTGGCCTATCAGAAATTAACAATCAATCAGCATTTCTCTTTTGAGTGTGGCCTCAGGTGACTTGGGCTACCTTCAGACTCAGAGTATCCGTGGCTAGGCTGAGGTGTCAGTTCCTGACCTGCCAGCCAAGGAAGAAACTCTGTGGCACATTCACCACATTCACCAAGGCAACGCTCCCTTGTTGGCCTCTCAGTAATCCATCAGCTTAACTGACACTCGGGGCTTTGCTGTTTTATTCTTGCTATCTATACTCTTATTCTTGTCAAAGTTCAACATTATCTCCTTGACAGTAACATGAACTCACAGTTCTTACTCTGGCTCATGAGGAAGGCTGTGCACTACTCTTCCCCATTTAAAGAAGAGTTTATGAGCCGGGCGTGGTGGCTCAGCCTGTAATCCCGCGCCTTTGGGAGGCTGAGGTGAGTGGATTGCCTGAGCCCGCGGGTTCGAGACCCACCTGGGCAATTTGGCGAGACCTCATCTCTACAATAAATAAAAAATCAGCCAGGCATGATAGTAGCACACCTGTAGTTCCAGCTACTTGGAAGGCTGAGGCGGAAGGATCGCCGGAGCCCAGCAGGTCAAAGCTGCGGTGGCCAGAAGCGGCCACTGCACTCTAGTCTGGGTGACAGAGTGAGACTCCAACTCAAAAAAAAAAGAAGAGTTTGTTTATCCTCTGCTTCCTGTCTATACCTTCACCCCCTACTATAATAATGTAGTCTGTCTCAGGGTGACTCAACTCTATTTAAAAGTCTTTGATTCAGGATCCTGTCAAAAGCTTTTGAGTAAATACATAGATCAAAGTATAGATACTCTCCCCTGTCATTCAAATGCCTATTTGCTTCCTTAAGCAGTTTTCTCCTGTAGAAACTGCTCTCTCAATAAGCTTGTTTAGTGAGAGTAGTGTTATTGGAGGAGTGAGAACTGTATCTGAAACACGAAGAAGACACAGTGGCATGTGAGGTGATCAGAGTGAGATGCACTGCCAGGCAAGGACAGGAGTATGCAAGAAAAAAAAAGGAAGCCTTGGTCCAGGGAAAAACCTGGTTCTTTCTCTAGTTCTGAAATACCACCCAAGATCATATAGTTCATACTTCCTTAGTTGGAAATAGAATTTAAAATGGATTGTAGGCCGGACTCAGTGGCTCAGCCTGTAATCCCAGCACTCTGGTAGGCCAAGGTGAGTGGATTGCCTGAGCCCGTGGGTTCAAGATCAGGTTGGACAACTTGATGAGACCTCTTCTCTATGATAAACCAAAAAATAAGCTGAGCACGATAGTGCACACCTGTAGTTCCAGCTACATGGAAGGCTGAGGCAGAAGGATCACCTGAGCCCAGCAGGTTGAAAAAAGTCCTGAACAACCAGGTGTCACTAAAACCACACCCACTGACCTCAATTTGCATCTCACCCACCAAATTGTAATGCTTCCTTCTTTTTTTAGAATGAAATAAGTCATGTATTTTTTTTTTTTGAGTTGGAGTCTCACTCCGTTGCCTAGGCTGCAGTTGTATTGGCACACTCACAGTCACCCCAGCATCAACCTGCTGGGCTCTGGCAATCCTTCTGCCTTAGCCTTCCAAGTAGCCAGAACCACAGGTGCACGCTACCATACCCAGCTAATTTTTTTATTTATTGTAGAGACGAGGTCTCACTATGTTGCCCACGTTGGTCTCAAACCCGCAGGTTCAGGCAATCCTCTCCCCTCGGCCTCCCAACGTGCTGGGATTACAGGCTCAAGCCACCACACCCAGCCATGTCATGTACTTTTTAAAGTTTGTAACATACATGTACAGTTTACAGAAGAATGAAATGAACACTATGTATCCACCACACAACTTAAGTAGAACATTCCCAGGGATTTGAAGCCCTATATGCCCCTGCCCAATTGTACCTCTCCCTCCACTCCACCAGGTAACCACCATCCTTCTATACATTTTTAAAATTCATCCCCAGGCTCATTTTCTTTTGCTACAGTTGCAAAGTACACATGTACAGAAACTACAAAATTCTGTGTTCTCCAAGCCCAATCAATCACCCTCTGCTGACCAGGAATGAGAAAGAAGAATCAACCAAAAGCAGAAGTCCTGTCATACCCATCCCTGTACCACATCCCTGTACCCTAGCCCAGTGCCCATTTCGTACCCTAGCCCAGTGCCCATTTCTTGGTGACTGCTTGTCTCATCTACACCAAGACTCACAAAACAAAAACAGAAACACTGCAAAGGAATAAACAGGTACACGCTGGGGAGAAAAACAAAAACATTCCCTTCCTTTCTTACCTCTGCCTCTACCTGCTGCTGAGTCCGGTTGTGGTTCTCTTTGTACTGGTTGGCTCTCAGAACTTGCTGCTCAATGCCCAACAGAACTGCTTCACAGCCATCACACCTACAGAGGAGAAAACCAGTCCTGAGCCACAGAAAGGCGTGGGAAGTCTCATCCAGGCTCAGAAACCTCCCGCTCCAACGGCCTTCCCCAGCACCTGATACAGACTTCCTTTAATACTCCCTCACTCCAGGGATCTTTCCCTTTACTTCTTTCAAAATACAAGCATTTCTAAATACGTAAAACAGGACATAAGGATACAAATACAGTGGTTTGGGGGTAGTTTACTAGAATATAACTTTAATTTACAACCTTTGTATCCCACAGGAAACAACTTTTCAGCATATAAGATTAAAGGACTTTACAGATGGCACTGAGTAAACACTAGTAAACAGAGAAAAGATTTTTCTAAAAACATCCTAATTTGGAGATAGCCCCTCTTCTCAGAAGTTTAAGTTATTTCCTAATTGCCATACTCTTCTTCATTATTTTATTTTCCCCACTTTTTATTTCAAAATCTTAATACAAAAAAGCTGAAGGAATATACAGTGAATATCCACATACCCTCCACTTAAGACCCAATAGTTGTGAACATTTTACCATGTTTGTTAGTACCTGTCTATATAACAATTTTGTTTCAAATCTACCTCCAATGCCTAAATATAAGTTTTAAGAATCTCTACTAGTAAATATTCCCAGATAAGAATTAGTCTAGCACCTCTGGGTCAAATATATTCGGGGCTTAAAAACAGAAAACCAAGCCGGGCTCAGTGGCTCAGCCTGTAATCCCACGCCTTTGGGAGGCTGAGGTGAGTGGATTGCCTGAGCCTGCGGGTTTGAGACCCGCCTGTGCAGCGAGACCTCATCTCTACAATAAATCAAAAAATCAGTCGGGCGTAGTAGCACATGCCTGTAATTCTGGCTACTTGGAAGGCTAAGGTGGAAGGATCGCCGGAGCCCAGCAGGTCGAGGCTGCGGTGGCCAGGAGTGGCCACTGCACTCCAGTCTGGGTGACAGAGTGAGACTCCAACTCAAAAAAAAAAAAAAAAAAACAGGAAACCAGACCATGGACATGACAACTGTGTCAGCCACCTCAAAAACTGAATAGGAAAGCTGACTTGAGTAGGATCAGAAACTAGATTTTGTGTGCCAGACCATTTTTGTGTTAGGGCTATTTTCTAGGTTTATTTCTTGCTTATTCTGATTTAATAGTTTCTCAAATTTTTGAAAGCTGCTATTTGTGTCCAATCTTGTAAAGATGTTCTGGGCTATGCTTGGGACAGAACTTGGGGTAAAGCATAGGCAGCACATGCCCTAGGTTCTAAGTATAGTTCAAGTGAGGAAAACTCAGGGAGCTTCAGGCACCAGGGAGTCAAAGTTGGGCTGTTCATCCCTGGATATACATCCTTCTCTTGGGGATAAGCCATAGATTGGATTTGTTTTAAAGAAACCACTTCCTGGCCGGATACAGTAGCTCATGCCTATAATCCCAATACTTTGGGAGGCCAAGGTGAGAGGATTGCCTGAGCCCACGGGTTCGAGACCAGTCAGGCAACTTGGCAAGACCTCATCTCCACCATAAATCAAAGAACTAGCTGGGCGTGGCGGCACGTGCCTGTAGTTCCAACTACTTGGAAGGCTGAAGCGGAAAGATCGCCTGAGCCCAGCAGGTAGAGGCTGCAGCGGCTGTGAGCTGCACTCCAGCCTGGATGACAGAGTGAGAGACACCGACTCAAAAAAAAAGAAAGAAAGAAGAAAACCACTTTCCCATTCCTCTACACAAAGTTTGCCTGTTCTGTTCTATGACCTCCAAGACACCACATGCCTGCCTGGGAACATGCTCTTCTCACCTCCAGTTATACTCTAATCTTGGCCCTCCTTCAAAACTGAGCTACCACTTCTCCAACTAAGTCCATCTGCCTTTATAAGTCCCAAATTATTTAAATTATTCCATAATAAATCCTTGTAGGATGTGTGACAACTCTCACAAATATCAAATTCCATTTAAACAGAGTCCATGCAAATGTCCCAATTGTTTTTATATACCAGAATACAGTTGTCAAATATTCTATGCGTGAGTCTGTGTTCCAAATTGGAATAACCCGTTCCTTGTCTTCGATATCCCTCACAGTGTTTTGCAAACACTAGCTCAATATGTCACTGACTCTGAACTTGGGTTCTCCTATCTACAGAATCCTACAAGCACTAACATCCCTGAGCTGGGTCAAACTTTGAGTTTGGAAAGCATGGTATTGGCAGCACAAAGCTAGGATGAAGACTTCACCTGCTAACCCTGGGTATTTTACAGTTCACTAATAAACAGCTGCATTTAAGATATGTACTATTTTATAAGTAAGGCACTAGAAGGCCTGAAATGATTTCTGTTGCCATGCAGCTGTGATCATTAATCCAGCCCCACTCTCTGGCTTATTGTCCTAAGGCCCTATCTCCCAGGCAGCCACAAGGCCTAGCACAAACCTTCAGGTGACATCAGGAGATCACGTTTTTGCAGGCAGAAGCACAAAAGACATGCTAGATATCCCCCTCCTCTCAGCCTCACCACTCATGTAAGGTCTTGACAATATTATTGATATCCTTCTTTCGGATGTCACGGCCAATGCAGAAATCCACTTCTAGCAGCTGGTTTCGCTGGTCCAGCTTGCCCTGGATGATGTCAGTGTAGACAGCCTCAATGATGAGGTCTTCCAGTTCCCGGAGATTTCGCATCTCCAGGTCCTTCAGCAGCACGGAGTAGGGGATACACTGTAGATAAGGTCATGTGATAGTTATAAAAACCATCTGGCAAGCATTAATGAAAATACAGGTATTACCCACATAGCCAACAGCTGCCTCTGGGCTTGGGAAATGCAGGTTAGTGGTAATTATTAATATCTAGGGCAATGAGAGATGGATAAATGAACTGTGAGACCCAAATAAGACCCCAGAGCATCTAAGAAGGCATCCTCCTAGTTCTCTGCCTTAACTTCACCCAGTCTTCAGCTTTCACACATTGCAGCATACTCTTTAGCAATCCTAAAACCTCCTAGTGGAGAGAAAGATAAATACTCAGTATATGCCATTCTGCCACCTTCTGGAAGCTTGCAGACTTTGCATAAAATGCCAGATTATCATAAACTGTCAACAGATACCAGGAGAGGAGAACTGGCTAATTGCCCAGCAGAGTGTAAGCAAAAAAAAAAAACTCTGCAAGCCAGCACATCCACCTACAGGTGGACAGTGGAGACTGCCATCCAGAGGTCATCCTAAAGTTTGCAACTGCTTTCTTAGATTCTTGCAGCCAATGTCAATTCCTCAACCACAGTCCTTTACTGGGTTGTAGCAGCATTCTACATGACTCCAAGACAACAGGGCATCTAAATATCCAGTTTTCTGCAAATCCTCTGGCCCACTGCTACTAGTTTGGAAACAGACAGTAGGAAGATGTACTCAGAGAGTAACAGCAAACATACCTAGAAGGGTTTTCTATGGCTAAAGGCGTAATATTCAGTGGCAGCAGGTGGGCTTACAATGACAGGTTACAGAAATAAGGAAGAAGAACATTCCTATTTCTTTACTATACTTGAGAAGTCAACAATCAGGACAAGAAAAAAAAGTCAAGTCCTCATTTCCCAATACAATAGGCCCTCACCTGAAATGCCAGGCAGGCTGAGAATTGGAGATCTATAATTAGATCAGGTTTGAGAGTAATTTCAGCCATTGAAATGGCAATCTAAGGACAAATATACATCACTACTCTCAAGCTCAATCACAGAGGTGAGATGCAAAAACCAAACTTTTTCAAAGGTATAGTCCCACAAAAACTTAGACATCTAGACTGAGATCAGGCAATGAGTGAAAATCAACTACAAATTAGCCAAACCTAGACCTTCATTATTATGGGCTGTAAGGAGCTGGCTGCAAGGCTTCTTCTAAATCCACTGGGGCAGAGTACTGAAACAGTATCATGACTCTGGAGTTGTTGGTACCTTACAGAAGGTTAGGATCTAAAGTTAGCATATAAGGCAAAAATTCTAATTAGTGTAATTTACCTTGGAAATCCCAGAGAAAGGTAGCATATTAAAAATATACCTCTCAGGAGGTCCAACATGGCAAGTTTTTCCTAAAGCAAGGGCACAGCCACTGTGCACTGAGCAACAGATGAAATTACTAATCTGCCTTGCTATTTGAAAAATGTGTATCTTTAAACAGTAGTCTCCCTCTGAGCATGGCAAAATGCTCACACCACATGAGACACCGTGGCATGCCAGAACTGAGACCTGCTGATTCAAATCACTGCTAGGCACACTTTTCCTGCATGGAATGGGGAGTAATTGTCTACACCATTTTAATTGTTATCTTTTTCTCTGTTGTCCTTTGACAAGCAAATTTCATGCATTTATGATGTGACTCTACTGTGGACAGCTGGGATGCCAATGAAACACCTGAATCAGGGTAAGGAGGAAGACAGAAAAGGGTTCAGGATCATACCTTCATTCTTGATGCCAAGCTCACGATGGTAAGATGCTTCAGCTTGTTCTGCTGAGCTATGCTCAGTTCTGGCAGGCTCTCCTTGTTGGCTGCTCAGTCCCACCCACCACAAAAATCAAGACATAAAATAAAATTAGGATTTCTTTAATGGAATAAGTTCACCAATTCCACAAACCGAAACTACTTCTGAAACACTGTCATGATTCTACACTTATTCATTGAGTAAATATTCTGTGAGCACCTCCTGTCTTCTTTGGAAGACGACGTACTTCCAAAGACAACTCAGTCTCTACACACAAGGCATTTAGTCTCCCGAAAAGCCAGGCATAAACAAGCAAAATGATATGACAATTATCTTAATGGATAATTTGTGCCCCTTGTGACATTAAGTTCAACACATCTTCATTGAGCATCTGTTAAATGCAAAGCTCTATCTTGGGAAGAATCAATGATGAATAAGATGGGCTTTGTCAGGGCTGCTGCCAAGGATCCCAACCACCTGGAGTTATGCAACTCAGTGGTCTTGGACTTGTCTTCAGTCTTACAATCAGATGTCTCAATCGCAAGGCAGAACTACCAGAAGAAAGATGCAAACTACAGGGGGAGGAAGAGCGAAGGAGAGACAGAAAGAGAAACAGAGAGATAGTGTGACTACTATCTTATTTGCGAGAAACGACGAAGAGACGAAAAGAAAGGCAGGCTTCATGGAGGAAATGGAGTTTGAGATGAATAGGCAAAATGTTAGTAATAACAGTAATGAAAACAATAGCAAGGGTAGCAGCTGCAGATAACATATACAGGAAGCTTTACATGATGGATTGCATATAGAGTCACACATACATACACACATCCACTTAATCCTCACAACAACCCCACAAGTCTAAGTGTCCTCAATCCCCTAACCATCATTCTGAATTCCAAAAAGCTGAACCCAAACTGATTTTTTCTTAAGCACAGTGCTCAAACTCATCTAGTAGCAATTCCTGACCTAAATTGAAGCAGGCTTTTTATCCCACTTGTGAACATTCACTTGTTTTTCTGCAAAATTATGTATGTGTTTAACTGCCCACATCCCTCTGAGGATGTTACATAAAAAGGCATATGCATCATATCACCTTTCTAAAATCCTCAAAATCCTACATCCTGAAACATCTAGTCTCAAGGAGCACAGAGAAGGAATAATGGACTTATGTTAGTTATTACTCCCATTTTACAGATAAGGAAACTGGGGTACATAAAATTACTTAATTTGCCAAAGGACACACAACTAGTAGAAGTGGAGCTAGAATACAAATGCTGGCAGTCCGGTAAGAGTCAGTGCAATGTTGCCTCTTTGGTAAATGAGGATAGAAACAGAGGACAGAGGACACACACTCATTTAAACAAAGAAAAATGTGGTGTACCAGTAAGTGGCAAACTATCCAGTCTGACGGCAGCACAGAGTAAGCAGAAATGACCAGAGAGAAAGAAGGGAAAGTCAGGGGTGTAATTGAGAAGGCCCTAAATATCAGGCTACTGTCATACCACTGAAAAAACAGTAGGGAAGCCAGAAAAAAAAAAGTTTGGGTGCAAGATAAACTAGGGTTTGCACATGAAAGTATCTCATTCCTGATATTTAAGATTCCAACATAAAACAACTCAAGAGAATGTGCTAAGCAGATTATGGAATATCAGATTAAGGAATATTTAAAATTGTTACAACGATTTAAAATATGGATAAATGCCTATGAAACAAGCAGGAAAAAAGTAAGCAAGATATAAAACTGTATACATTTGGAACAATACAGAGAGGAGTAGCATGGCCCCTGAGCCAGGATGGCACACAAATTTGTGAAGTGTTCCATATTTTTAAAATAAATAAAATAAAAAACTGTATATCTATGCACATCTATGTAAAAGAAAACACAAGCATAAAGGGGAAAAAAATCCAGTACCCTAACGCTAACAGTAGTTTAATGGAGGTACAACAATGAGTGACTTTTTAAACTATTTTCCAAAATTTCTTCAATATGGTGATATTATTTTGATAATATTTAAAATGTTGAACTATTTTACAAGTGAGCATTCTGACTCTTCACAGCACTCCATGCCCTATAAATACCAGTCCTTCAGAATCTCATCTTTCCTGTGGTAAATTTCAGCTTACAAAAAAAAGAATCTCATCTGGAAAATAAACAAGGGCTACATTTGTAGTTAAGCATACACAAAAGTCCCCATTTAACTCACTGGGAAATAAAAGGTGAGAAGGGAAATTCCTTTTGTGAGGTCACTTACAGAGCACAGTAAAATGGGAAACAGTCAGGTCAAGAAAGTCTCCCCCATGCCCTGCTTCATATCTCAAACCACAGAGATTCTCCAAACTGAGCAACATTAATTAAACAAAGTCTTCTGAAGGAACTTAACCAACTCACCTATGTAATCTGGGTATGTTCCATAGGCAAACAGGTTCAGCAACTGCAAATAAGCAGCATTAGCTCCTTCTGCAAGCTGAGGAGAAAAAGAAAGTTCACCACAAAACAAGCTGTCTACCAATCACTGTAGTGTTCAGAGGATGGGTGAGCATGTGTCAAAGATGTCATGACCATTTATCCTGTACAGTTTGATCACCTGGACCCTGAGTTCCCTTCCAACTATGATTCTTTGGAAAAAGATAATAAGATTACCAAAGCACCAAATTTAATTTTTCTCCCTCAGTAATATGTTTTACACTCCACATAGCATGCCCAAGTAACTGCTTCCGTCTCTTTCTGTGAGTGTGCACGCGCGCACACACACACACACACACACACACACACACACACACACACACACAGAGAGAGCAGTAATCACTGTAAGTAGTTCAAGTTTTCTCAAGATTCTCCTAGCATTATAATAAAGACTGGAGCAGCCCTGTCTACACATCAGCTCGGTAGGCACAGCGCAAGCCACTATCAACCCAAACTAAACAAAACTTAAGGTTAGTTCCAAATCTCGGACTACATGTGGACTTGAACCCTAGGAAAGATAGTACAACATAACATATAATAGAAAGCCCAGCTGGGACAGGAAACTAGGATATCAGGCTGCCCCAAATAAAAATGTTCATTAAAATTACTTACTCTTCACTGATGCTGATGGCAAAGAGCCATTGTTCTGCCTGAAACTGCTCAACTGTCAATCGCCTTAACTGGGTGGTTTTTTTAAACTCATAAACATGCTCCTGTTATTCTTCCAATTTACTAAACTCAGTAAAGTCTAAATAGAAGCCGGGCTTGGTGGCTCAGCCTATAATCCCGCGCCTTCGGAAGGCTGAGGTGAGTGGATTGCCTGAGCCCGCAGGTTCGAGACCCGCCTGGGCAACTTGGTGAGACCTCATCTCTACAATAAATCAAAAAAAATGAGCCGGGTGTGGTAGCACACTCCTGTAGTTCCAGCTACTTGGAAGGCTGAGGCGGAAGGATCGCCGGAGCCCAGCAGGTCGAGGCTGCGGGGGCTGGGAGCGGCCACTGCACTCCAGTCTGGGCGACAGAGTGAGATTCCAACTCAAAAAAAAAAAAAAAGTCTAAATAGATATAACAAGTAATATTCTACAGACACCAATAGCAACACTACTCAATTTTAGCCACTTTTTAAAAAAGATTCCAAGAACTGCATCCAAAATTTCAGACCACTAAAAAGCAACTAGCTTATTCCTAGTTCACATATTTAAAAAAAAAAAAAGTGTGAGGAGATAAAGGTGATTTGCTAAGCATCTCAGTGAGAACTCTGGAATCCTAAGACTTCAATCTACCCTCTCAAGTTACCACGAACCATCTGAGGTCCCTGAATTAGAAGTGAAGGAGACCTGGTAAAGAACATCAAGCCTAGCCCCCATCTTTCAGACAATTACAAACCTAGCTGGTACAGAGTATTTTCTCTAGAGCAAATACTCTAAAACGTCTCCCACTAGTCTAAATCCCTAAGAGTTTTCTGTCTTTAATTTGCATCCACCTCCTCTTAGCCAATCTTCCATAGTTACAAAACAACTGCTTGGCATATTCATTTAGGTTTTTCATGAACCTGAAGGAACATATCACTCCTAGGCCATCTCTTCTTGGGTTCATTTTTCAACAGAAGAGATGGCCTAGGAGTGATATGTTCCTTCAGGTTCATGAAAAACCTAAATGAATATGCCAAGCAGTTGTTTTGTAACTATGGAAGATTGGCTAAGAGGAGGTGGATGCAAATTAAAGACAGAAAACTCTTAGGGATTTAGACTAGTGGGAGACGTTTTAGAGTATTTGCTCTAGAGAAAATACTCTGTACCAGCTAGGTTTGTAATTGTCTGAAAGATGGGGGCTAGGCTTGATGTTCTTTACGGTCTCCTTCACTTCTAATTCAGGGACCTCAGATGGTTCGTCGTAACTTGAGAGGGTAGACTAGGCCATCTCTTCTGTTGAAAAATGAACCCAAGCCAGGCTCGGTGGCTCAGACTGTAATCCCGCACCCTTGGGAGGCTGAGGTGAGTGGATTGCCTGAGCCCGCGGGTTCGAGACCCGCCTGGGCAGCGAGACCTCATCTCTACAATAAAGTAAAAAAAAAAAATCAGCCGGGCGTGGTAGCGCATGCCTGTAATTCCAGCTACCTGGAAGGCTGAGGCGGAAGGATCGCCGAAGCCCAGCAGGTCGAGGCTGCGGTAGCCAGAAGTAGCCACTGCCCTCCAGTCTGGGGGACAGAGTGAGACTCCAACTCAAAAAAGAAAAAAAAGAAAAGAAAAATGAACCCAGTTCTATCATAGAATTAATTTTCCACCTCTGGTAAATTAAATTTTTACTGAAAGTCTACTGTGTGTCAGGCTATGTATTCAGCTCTAAGGAAACAACGGTGAGCACTACAGACCTTACTCTCACAGAGCTTACAGTTTAGCAAACTGAAATTAAATAAAAATTTACAATGAAAAAGCAAAAGTGGTTTTTTTCGCATCTCTGGCCATCACAGAGTAAGGAACTATGTGTGGGTATTGGCAACAGATGGTTGTGGGAAACTGCTCCTGTTTCCTGATCAAGAGGAATAAACAGACAGACAGCACCAAGCCCAATAACTTGAAGGTTTGCAACTCCTTCGGTTACAACTGGTTGATTCACCCAAACTCCTATTAAAATTGACTGTGGGTGTGGAGCTGGCAGCTAACAGCAAAGGTGTTGTGGTGGTCATGAAGGTGATGAGCCGCCTAGAGATAGCCAGCCACCTTCTACATGCAAACCACCACCAAGAACGCCAAGACCACTCTCTGCAGCATTTAGCACATGATCTGCAAGTACCATCACTGTCTGGATCTGTGCATGGCAGTCATTTACACTACCAGGTCTGTCCTGCACAGCCAGAAGCCTGAGATGGTGAAGAGGAAGGAGAACCACCCTACCAGCCCACCAAAAGTTCCTGACTACCCACCCAAACACACACAAAGCAATAAAGATGTTCACAGATTTTTCCCAAATAAATAAATAATAAAAATACAAGTGTCCAAGTGGGAAGTAGAGGTTGAAAAGTATAGGTTGCCAGGCTTGATGGCTCAGCCGGTAATCCCGCGCTTTAGGAGGCTGAGGTGAGTGAAATGCCTGAGCCCGCGGGTCCGAGACCCACCTGGGTAATTTGGCAAGACCTCATCTCTACAATAAATCAATAAAACTAGCCGGGCGTGGTAGCGCACGCCTGTAATTTCGGCTACTTGGAAGGCTGAGGCAGAAGGATTGCCAGAGCCCAGCAGGTCGAAAGCGGCCGGGAGTGGCCACTGCACTCCAGTCTGGGTGACAGAGTGAGACTCCGACTCAAAAAAAAAAAAAAAAAGAAAGAAAAGTATAGGTTGCTTTACATCTCTTGTTCCATCTGGTCATTCTTCAACAGATCTTCTCAATTTTGAGGCATGATGACCAAAACTAGATACCCAAGGTTTTAATAACAACAAGCAAACAAAGCAAAATGGACTACTTCCCTCCTTTTCATGTTTTTAACACATCTACTTTAACACAATATTGCCCTTTTCCCAATGAACAATATACTCCTATTAATGCACATCTCATGTTCAATAGCAGTAAGTTTCTGCTATGTGTGTCTCTGTCCAATCTTCCTTATCTGTATTGCACTGGAGTTTTTTTCGGGCCCAAAGAATCCCTGAAACTGTCCCTATTAAACATCAGCCCAAGCTTATAGCCCCATTTTTTTCTAATTTATCAGGATCAATTTGACTTTTTACTATTTTTCAGATTATTATTTGCAACCCAATGTAACTTTACCCACCCATGTTCAGACAAAAATGCCGAATAAAAGGAGCCCAAGACATCATCCTTAATCTCTTTGCCTACCCACCAATTCCCATCCCTCCTTCAACAAAGTAGTTTACAAGTTCACAATACTTCAGAACTGAAATTCCTTGGAAATCTGGAGAATCACAGAAGGCTTAAAACAAAGAAGGCAAAGAAATTGAAAACCGCTCTTACCTCCTGCACATTGGCCAGCTCCAGCAGTTCTCCAAAGACGTACACTCCAGGAGCCTCTAAGACCTGACTTATGAGAGCAGTGAGGGCTGAACCACTGGTACCTTTGGCTAGTAAAATAAACTGTTCCAGGAGGTTACTTGAGGGTTTCTGTTCCCCTGCCATCCTCTGGCCTTGAAATCTGTTCAAAAGAGAAGTTGTCAGCCATTCTTCCTTTTCCTTTGCAAAGTCTATGTTTATTTAATGCTGGATCAGACACCAGAATATTTTAATTTTATAGTGTTCATAAAGAAAAACAGTTCCTGAGTCCAGATGTAATCACCACTTTGTGAGATGAGTAGAGTTCAACCTGCAGTTAAAGGGATCTTGTCCTCAATTCTGAGGTTTGAAACACACTTTGTAAAAGTCATTTCATTCCCATCTGCCCCCTCCCAAAGGCAACACCTTCTAAGTTCGAAAACCTGAGCAAGACTTAAAGAAACACACAGGAGGTTTTTGGTAGCTGTATTATATCGACCTCATATTTGCACTCTGGTTAAGAAACATAGAATACTGCCTATAAAGAAAGCCATTATAAGCGGCACCGGATGTAGGCAAAAGCAATCAGTTACAGCTCCTACTGTGTCACCAGAATCCCATCTACAGCCAAATGCAGATAAGACAAACTGTAGACAAGAAAGATGCCTCAATTAATCAAAGAAGTCATTTAAGCATAGGAAAAGGGGGAAATAAGCAGCAGTAGTTTCTTAATTCAAACTGAGAAAATACATGCTGTGCAAGACCAGGAGGAAACTCCATTTGGCCTCCTCCTGATAGATGACATTTTACCAAATATGATTTCAGAACTTCAAAACTTCAAGCAAACAATAAAACGATTTGGGAAAACAGTGAAGATACTGTAATGCCATCCTAAAGACATTAGGTATGGGAGAGTCCCTCACATGTGTAATCTAATTATACACTGAGTATACTCTACAGGTGTCCCACGTAAGAAAATATTTCTCTTTCAAGAATGATACATACTGGGCCAGTGTGACAAAATATAGGAAAAAGGTATTGCAGAGTGAAGCAGAGAACAATTAAAAGATGGATAGTTTGGTGCAAGAGAAACTAAGTTTTCCTATGGAGATAGGCACACAGAGAGTAGCCTTTTCACACTATTAGAGAAACAGGTATGTTGCCTCACTTAAGGTTACCTAAAAAGATCCTGTCAGAAAAAGTGAAGAGCTGGGGACAAAAGGTTCTGAGAAGGGGAAGGGAAGGCGTGAGAAGAAGAGAGGGAGGAGAAGTGGAGAAGAGGGAAAGGGTAGGTGATGGTTAAGAGGGGAGGAAGTAAAACCACCCTTCCAAGTGGACACAGGTGAAGAGAAAGATGGGGATCTCTGACGAGACTGAATGGAAGGTGCTGGGCGTAGAAAAGGGGTAGGGAGATGGAGATAAACTTCGGTCCCTCCAAAATATCTCGGCCTAAAAGCAATGCCTGTGGGGGAAGAAAGTGTAAGAAGACAGTGATAGTCGCTCTCTTCTGGAGTAGGAGGGTCAGAGGCGTCTGGGAAAGAGAGGAGACAAATTCCCGTCAGAGGAGGGCGCTATTTTGATGGATCAGACAGGGGCAAAGTGGGGCAGCCTTTGGAGGCTGGGGGAGCGAGGGCAGCCACAGCAGTAAAGCTGAGGGTCCCATGCCGGAGCAGACTTCAGGCGAGCGGCGTTCTCCAAGCAGGGCCGCGGGCGTGTAGTGAGGAGCCGCGGGGCGCGCTCCCCGAGGCGGGGGCGGGGCGGCATGGCCGCTGGCTTTCTTGGCGGCGGGCGAGAAGCCGAACGGTCTGAACAAGCCTGACACTCAGCTCCACCCGTCCTGCCCTCTCGCCGGCCCTTACCTGTCCGCGTCACCTCTCGGTCCTCTCAGTCGCTGGCTCGGCCTCCCGGCGCCTACCCGCAGGTTGTCAAGCGTCCATGATCGGCCCGGCGTCCGGCGCTTTTCTGCCTCCGCCGACCCGTCGCCAGTGCAGCTCCCCCGGAAGCCTCCCAGCACTGCTCTCTCGTTCCGCCCACACAAGGTTCCCCCCGCGGCGTTCACAGCCTCTCACCTCCAATGGGGCCAGGGCCAGGAAAGAGACTGCAGTCCGGGAATTGGGCGGGGAGCGGGATGGCGAGGGGCCCAAGGAGAGGAATGCGGCCTAGGTGGTACTGCGGCAGAACCGTCGCCATCACTATCCCGGGCCTAAAATCCATCCCCCAGGCTGAGCTTTATCTCTCAGGAGCTCCCTATGGCTACTACGCTACCCCTGGGCATGGAGACATTAAGTCTAGTAACTACCGTTTACTGAGCGTTTTTCCATGTGCCAGGTGCTGTAAGTGTATTGCCTCATTGAATTCTTCTAATTCTATGGCTTGTAATATTGTTCCCATTTTTCTGGTGAGTTAACTAAGTTTACGAGTCCAAAAATCAAAAAGTGGCAAAGCCCATTTAGGAACTCAGAAAATCTGAAGTCAAAGACCATGTTCTTGATCTCTATCAGAAAATGTATTTGTTAATGGATTTTATTAATTACTTATTTGAGTCGGGGTCTCCCTCTCACCTGGGATGGAGTGCAGTGGCAGATCACAGCTCACCACAGCCTCAACCTCTTGGACTCATGTAATTCGTTCACCACAGTCTCCCAAGTAGCTGGGACTACAGGCGCGGGCCACCACCCCCAGCCAATTTTTAAATTTTTTTTGTAGAGACGAGGTCTTGCTCTGTTGCCGAGGCTGATCTCGAACTCCTACGCTCAAGTAGTCTTCCTACCTTGGTCTCCCTGAGTGCTGGGATTACAGGCGTGAACCACCACTCTATCAAAAAATGTACTTAAAATAAGCAAGAGATGGGTTGAACCATCAATGGTTCTGTGACCAAAATGTCATTTTAAGTATTGCATTTGGTGCTTACCACCTCCCCTGGGAAGATGGCTAAGAAATGCCTCATATTGGAACACTTAAATTTAAGTTCCTATTTATTTATTTATCTAGAGCTGGGGTCTCACTGTGTTGCCAGGCTGGAGTGCAGCGGCATGATCACAGCTCACTTCAGCCTCCAACTCCTGTGCTTAGACAATCCTTACCTCAGTCTCCAGAGTAGCTGGGACTATAAGCGCAGGCCACTATGCCCAGCTAATTTTTTTTATTTATTGTACAGACAAGGTCTATGTTGCCCAGGCATGTCTCTAAATTCTGGGCTTAAGCAATCCTCCTGTCTTGGCCTCCTAAAGTGCTGGGATTACAGGTGTGAGCCATTGTAATCTTAAAAATCTAAAGGCCTATTAGGCTTTTTAAGGTGAAAAGAGGTATGAATAATTGTCTTTGTTGAATAGTCATGCTAAGTGCCATAGGAATGGATCGGATGTGGAGAGAACTGGAGGTAGGGAAACCCTTGAGGTGACTGATTTATTCCAGATAGGAGATCTCAAACAAAGATAGTGGCAGTTGGGGATGAAAAAGAAGGGTCAGTGTTGGAGACATTTAGACTATAGAATCTATAAGACTTGGTGGCCAGTTGAATGCAGGGAGAGGGAAGGAGGATATTACCCAGGATTCTGGGAGGCCAGAGCTATCTGGAACTGGTGTCAAGTGAATAAGGCTGTGGAGGGGGAGGGGCAAATTTGAAAGTGGGTGGAAGACAACTGAGTTCAGTTTGATTTCATAAAAATTCCAGTAACATCTCTACTTCCTCCAGAATGATGTCCAGACTCCATGGCTAAAGTTAAAGCCCTCTGCAGTGTGTCTCCTAATTCCTCCAACTTTGTCTCACCCCACCCCCTTCACAGGCTCCCATGCCCAGCACCACTTATATTTTCCCTCTCAAACACCAAGCTTGCTCTCTTCTTTTTTTGCAATGCTCTTCTCTCATATTTGCCTGTAAAACTCCTACCAACTCCATAGGCAAAGATTTCTTAAATGTAATACCAAAAAACACTTACCATAAAAGAAAACACTGAACTGTTGCACTACATTAAAATTAAGAACTTCTGATTGGTAAGTGCAGTAGCATGTGCCTGTAGTTTCAGCTACTCAGGAGGGTGAGGCCAGAGGATCACCTGAACCCAGGAATTTGAGGCTGTAGTGCGTTACAATTGCACCTGTGTATAGCACTGCACTCTCGTCTGGGCAACGTAGGGAGACCCTGTCACTTAAAAAAAAAAAATCTGTTTCAAAAGAAACCAGTAAGGGAATGAAAAGACAAGCCACAGTCTTAAAAAAAGACATTTGCAAAGTATATACCAGACAAAGAACTCCATATCTAGACTATATAAAGAATTACAAATCAAGACAGACAACCTAATTTAAAATAGTAGGGAAAAGACTTGAACAGGCACTTCAGAAGAGAGGACATTCAAATAGCCAATAAGTATACTTAGTGTTCAACAGTAGATAAAATGTAAATAAACACCTTAATTATCACATTTAGCAAAAATGACTAAACTTAAAAAGACTGACAACAAACACCCCATGTTGATAAAGAGGCAACTAGAACTCCCTTATATTGCTGTTGAAGGCATAATATGGTACCATCATTTTGGAAAACTGGCAATATCTACTACCATAGGTATGCCCTACAAGCCAGCAACTTCTCTCCTAGAAATATGTGCATGTCCACAAAAAGAAACATATAAGAATGCTCATGGCAGCTTTGATAATAATAGTCTAAAAAATGATAACAACCCAAATGCTTACCAACAGTAGCATACATAAATTGTGTTCTAAACATACAATGGAATACTATTCAGCAACTGAAAAGAAAAAGCAGCCAGGCACAGTGGCTCACGTCTGTAATCCCAGCACTTTGAGAGGCTGAAGCGACAAAATTGCCTGAGTCCAGGGGTTCGAAACCAGCCTGGGCAACTTGGCAAGAACTTGTCTCTACAATAAATTAAAAAGTTAGCTGGGTGTGGTGGTGTGCACCTGTGGTTCCAGCCACTTGGAAGGCTGAGGCAGAGGGATTACCTGAGCCCAGCAGGTTGAGGCTACGGTAGCCATGAGCATGCCACTGCACTCCAGCCTAGGTGAAGAGTGAGACTCTTACTAAAAAAAAATAAAAAAAAAAAAAACAGAAAAGAGCTACACACAACCTGAATGAATCTCAAAAAAATGAACGAATGATGAATGAAAAAAGCCAAATACATACTGTACATATTATATGATTACATTTAAATGGAATTCAAGAAGAGACAAAACTTATCTATAGCGATAAAATCAGACGAGTGGTCATCTCCAGATGTGAGGATGCAATACTAATTAGGGGGAGCACAAGACATGCTGGAAATGTTCTATATCTTGATTTGGGGAGTGGGGACGGGGGTATATAAAAACGTGAAAATTGTTCCCTTACTGTATGTATGTTACACCTCATTAACACATTTAAAAATTTTAAAAAAAACATCCTACCCATCCTTCAAGTTCAAATGCCACCTCCTCCACAAAGTTTCGCCAGCTGGAATAAATCTCTCCACAAGGGCCTCTATGGCATTCTGATGTCATTTATTTTACACCATTTATCACACTCCATCTTGAATCTCAGTGGAGTCTCCTTATTTCCCTAAATAGATGGTTATCTTCCTGGTAGCAGTGACCATGTCTTTCACCTTTTACCCACTCAGTGTCTGACAAATAACAAGTCGAAAATATGTTTGTTGAATTACATAGAAGAAAAAATTGGGTGGGAGCCCAGATAGGTGAAAGGGGGTACAGGAAGAGGAAGGAAGGCCAAAGAAAGGACTTAGGAGGTCTCCAAGGAAACTGTGGCTTTCACTGCAATTTTACCTACTTCCTGAAATCACATTAAATGTCACCTTGAATGACAAAGAACAAAACACCAAGCCCTACTTAGGCTGAAGATAAAAAAGATCACACTCCCTCACTTGCAGGAAATCCACCAAATAAATGCTACCTAACCTCCGAGTGTTTCGACCGTGGATGGGAAAACTGTTCATCAAGGAGAAGAATAATCACATTGCCATGCGGCTAAAAATATCACCTCTTTAGTGTGGTGCAAAGAGCCCAGACTGCAAGTCAGCAGAATTCTAACTCTGTCCCAACTTGCTGTGTCTGTAGCCAATCTCTTTACCTCTCTGGGCCTAAAGTTCCTCATACATAAAAACAACAGGGGTTGGATTAGCAAATTATTTAAAGTCCCTTTCTTTATTGATATTCTGAGTATACAATCCATAGCTCTCCTGGTCCAAAGCAGGAACACACCAGAAACACTTGCAAAACACATAAAAGGCGCCTCAGAACAACAAACAAGCATGGTTTGAAGACGACATCTTGTTATATTATCTTTCATGGTTTAATCAGTGTTTTTGTTTGTTGTTTGCAGTCTTACCATGATTTGCAGAAGATTTCTGAGTCCCATGTAAACAGAAGTTAACTCTCTGTGGGCTGTCATCTTCTTTTGAAGGAAAGAAGGGTCTTCTCGCCTGGTTTCAAGTCTTCGGATTCAGAAACCACCAACTCTGCGGGTGAATTTGCGCACACTGCGCGGCACACTGGAGTCTAAGTTACAGAGGAACGGGGTGCAGGGAATGCTGGGATTTGTAGTCTCTGGGCCGCTTGGTGGTGTGCTGGGATCTGTGGTCCCCCGGGTTCTCCCCAGGAATGCTGGGAAATGTTGTCTCTGTCGCATCGCACAGTGCAACCCGCTATCGTCTCGGACGGTCAGTGTGCTCAGGGACAGGAGCGTGCCCTTCGAGCCTCTAAACATCTCAAGCCAAATCTCCGCTAGGGCAAACTCTAAGCAACAACACCAAATAAAAATTGTGTCCTCTGGGACTTCCCGGGGCGGGCCCTTCCCATTGACGCCCTCCGCCCCCCTGCGAAGCCGCTGGGCGTTTCTATAGGCTGGCCCGGATGTCAATCTCCGAGGCGGGCTTTTCATTGGCTTCGGGAGGGCGCTCCGAGGCTAGGGGGAAGGAGAAGGGATCAGGAGCGGGAGCTGGGGGGAGGGAGAGGCCGGTCCGGGTCTGGCCGCTACCGCTGCTCGCCCGAGGTGTTCAGGCCGGACTGCGGCTCCGTCCTCGGCTTCTGGACACCGTCTGCGAGGCTCCGCCGACCAGAGTGAGAGAGCCGCGGGCGGCAACCGCCGCATCATGTCAGCCAAGGACGAGCGGGCCAGGGAGATCCTGAGGGGCTTCAAACTGTATCCGCCCGGGAGCGGGGCGGGGCCGGGAGGACTTGGGAGGCGGCCGCTCCCTGAGGAGACTGGCCGGGTGCGGGAGCCGCGCCAGGTCGGCACCCGAGCAGAGGGGCAGCGGGACGGGAGAGAAAGGAACGCGTGCCGGGGCCCCGGCGGGACCGAGTGCGGAAGGCGGGCATGGGGGCGTCCGGGGAGAGGAAGGGGTCGTTGACGGGAGTCCAGGGGGTGCGGAGGAGCCTTGGGGGACCGGGCTGCGAGAGGCGCCGAGCGTGGGAAACGGGTGTCGGAGAGGCCGGCTGGGTTCCGATCCCCAGCCGGGACCCAGAGGCCGGGAGGGGGCTGAGGCCCGTGGGGAAGGGCAGGGAGGTGCGGTGGACTGATCTGGAAGCCTAGAAGCCTCGTTGGCGGGAAGCCCACCCGGGGAGCAGGGAAAAGTGACTTGGAGCGGGTGACCTTGCGTGGGACAAATACAAATGCTTGTGTTAAACTCTCTCAGGTCCCTCACCCCACCCTACCCCCGTCTTGTTTCCACAACTTCTCTTCCTCACTTGTGGCTTCTTCCAGGACTGGAGTATTAGAGGGAAGTGGGGAAGGAGAAGACCAAGCTTGACCTGGTGTTAACTTGGCCTTTTGAGGCAGGGGATGGTCACTGCTTGTCCCCTCAGCTCCTCAGTTTTCTTTCCAGTAAGATGAGGACTATAAGCTTGTGTGTGGGATGACTCGCGCTGGGACTCCTAGCAAAGCTATGTGCTCGCTCCTACCGGTGTAGTTAACGGCTGGCTACGGTGGAGCTGTCCAGCAAGGGTTCGATGTCGTTGGAGACACCCCACGGTAGCATACAGTAGGACATAGAAGTCATTGCCTCAGGCCTGTTGTGGTGTGGCTTTTGCAACCTTCCCCTTAATGTGCCAGGGAAGCTTTATGTGTTTTGATGGGGTTTTTGTTGTTGTTGTTTTGAGTTGGAGTCTCTGTCACCCAGGCTGGAGTGCACTGGCACATTCACAGCCACCGCAGCCTCGATCTGCCGGGCTCGGGCGATCCTTCTGCCTCAGCCTTCCAAGTAGATGGAACTACAGGCTCGCGCCACCACGCCCAGCTAATTTTTTGATTTATTGTAGAAATTAGGTCTCGCCAACTTGCCCAGGCTGGTCACAACCCCTTGAGCACAGGCAACCGTCTCACCTTGGCCTCCCAAAGTGCTGGGATTATAGGCATGAGCCACCCGTGCCCCCTGGAAGCTTTGTGTTTTAATGGAGTGTTAGTCTGTAAACATATGATGCAAATGAAAAAATACGATCTTGTGTATTCTAATTTCACATTTTCCTGCTAACCCTAGTCTCTTCTTACATGCTATCCATACAGTATGAAATATTCTTAAATTCCTCTCAGAAAGTGTATTCATAACTTTGGGGCTCCTCCTCTGGAGGTTTTGTAAAGCACCGTCCTGAGTCTCCTGTTGTGTTTTCACAACGCCCATTTCACCCTTGCAAACTTTCGTTCCTTTACTATAATCAGAAACAAAGTTGGTAATACATTTTAAAACACAATGCAGAAAAGATACAGGAAGTTTTGGATATGCAAATAAAAATTTTCAAACGGAAACTGACCTGCTATGCTTTTTTAAAAACTGAAGGCTGACCGGGCACAGTGACTCACGCCTATAATTTCAGCACTGGGAGGCCGAGGTGAGAGGATTGCTTGAGCCCATGGGCTCAAGACCAGCCTGGGCAACTTGGTGAGACCTCATCTCTACAGTAAATCAAAAAATTAGCCAGGCAGCTACTTGGAAGACTGAAGCAGAAGGCTCACCTAAGCCCAGCAGGTTGAGGCTGCGGTGGCTGTGAGCGTGCCACTGCACTCCGGCCTGGGTGACGGAGGGAGACTCCAACTCAAAAAACAAAAAAACAAACTAAAGGCTATATCACCTTTGCATACTGCCACTCACGATAAACTTTCAGTACTTTTATGTAGTGCAATTTAGTAACAGCTTCTTTTATATCTTCATGTGCCTTTCTGTGTTTCTGTTCATAATGGAGTATATATGTTGACAGAGACGTCTGAAGTGTTAGAAAAGCTGTGACATGGATTTTATTTGTGCCTTGAGTAACTTATATTGTTACTTAACTATATGTGCTATAGACAATAAAGTGGAGACTGTGGAGACTGGAGAATTGAGATATTTCAGAAGCAGTGTTTTTATCTCATTGGAATTAACATGTTACTGAAAAAAAGAAAGGCCTTTTTAATGGCTTTTGAACAAAGCAGGAAAGTTTAAACTTCTCACCTTCAGTCTTGGCTCTTGACCTTATTGAGAAAGAGGCTAAGGCACAAATATGAAAAAGAATAGAAAGTAGAATCTGTGTCAGCCCACTAGAAGGAAAAGTGAATTAGCCAATTCAGTGATGTCAGTGCATCAAGAAACAAGCTTTCAGGGAATGCTTGACCTGAGCTGATTAAATCCTGAAGTACAAGGGAAGTGGCCACATCAAAAAGTTAGCATGGAGTGATGAAGTGCACATCCTCTGGTAGCCTTCATTAGCATCTGAGGATTAAGAGGAAAAAGAAAACCAGGAACTTTAGGATATGCTAATACCTTCAGGAAAAATAAAATTAATGTTTTGGTAAGAAACTAGCTGACTTTTGTCCACCTTCTGTTGGGTGAATTGGTTTTCTGAACTTTCACAGTGCATCTGTTTCTGTAAGTATAGCATATAACTACAAAAATAAAACGCCTTTATATTCACTCACCAGCGGTGTTAACAATACTCAGTTTTCCATGTAGACTATGTCAGTCTGTTTAATTTTTCCAAGTTTGGATAACAAATGATAACTTGTTTTAATTTGTATTTTCCTGGATCCCTAGATACCTGGAAAGGTAATATAGCATAGTTAAGAGCTATACTGGACCGTGAAGTTATACTACCTGTGCTAGAATTCTGGTCCTGCACTCCTGTGTTCCTGAGCAACTTCTTTAACCTCCACCTCAATTTCCTCATCTGCAAAATGGGAATAATAATAGTACCTATCTTGCAGGGTTGTAGTGAGATAAATGAACTGATCTCTAAACCATTTAGGAAAGCACCTGATGCATAGTAAGCATTATGCATTCGCTATTACTATTGTTGTTATTAGAGAAGTTACAAATCTCCTCTGTCCATTTTTTTTTCTTCTGTGAATTGCTTATTTTGTTTTTGACCATTTTATTATTGAATTTATTTTTCATATTACTTTGTAGGCATTCTTTATATATTTTAATATCAATCCTTTATCTGTTATGTATGGGTTTTGTTTGTTTGTTTGTTTGTTTTGAGTTGGAGTCTCATTCTGTCACCCAGACTGGAGTGCAGTGGCCGCTCCCGGCCACCGCAGCCTCGACCTGCTGGGCTCCGGCGATCCTTCCACCTCAGCCTTCGAAGTAGCTGGAACTACAGGCATGCGCTACCACGCCCAGCTAATTTTTGATTTATTGTAGAGATGAGATCTCACCAAGTTGCCCAGGCGGGTCTTGTTATGTATGTTACACATATTTTCTCTGAGTATGCATACATTATTCATACTTGTTGAATATCTATTATGGACATATAGACAAAGTTTATGTACATGTACTGCTTGTTTCCTTTTTTTGTTGAACAGAATTTTAAAATCATCTTTTCAACTTTATCAATATTTTCACCTGGCTTTTGCACGTGTGTCTTGTTCAAGAAGATCTTTTTTTTTGAGTTGGAGTCTCACTGTCGCCCACGCTGGAGTGTGTGGAGTGCAGTGCCACACTCATGGCCACCATAGCCTTGACCTGCTGGGCTCAGGTGATCGTTCTGCCTTAGCCTTCAAAGTAACTGGAATTGCAGGCATGCACCACCACACCTGGCTAATTTTTTAATTTATTGTAAAGATGAGGGCTCACCAAGTTTCCTAGGCTAGTCTTGAACCTGTGGGCTCAGGCAATTCTCTCACCTCGGCCTCCCAAAGTGCAGGGATTATGGGCATGAACTACCACCCTGGCCAAGAAGACCTTCTTTATCCCAAGATTAATTAAATATCTTTCTTTCTTTTCTTCTCTCTCTCTCTCTCTTTGTTTTTTGTTTTTTTTTTTTGAGTTGAATTCTCACTCTGTCACCCAGGCTAGAATACAGTAGCATACTCACAACCACCACAGCCTTGACTTGCTGGGTTCAGGCAATCCTTCTGCTTCAGCCTTCCAAGTAGCTGGAACTACAGGCACAAGCCATGCGCCTGGCTAATTTTTCTTGATTTATTGTAGAGATAAGGTCTCACCAAGCTAATTGCCCAGGCTGGTCTTGAACCTGTGGGCTCAGGCAATCCTCTCGCCTCCGCCTCCCAAAGTGCTGGGATTACAGGCGTGAGCCATTGGGCCCAGCTTCTTCTCTTTTCAATATTCAGCTCTTTAATTCACCTGGAATATTTACACATTTGGTGTGTGGCAGAAATCTAACTATTTCTGCTGTTCAGATAGCCAGTTGTCCCATTGCTGTTTACTAAGTAGTTAGTCGATCCTTTCTCCACTGTTTAGAAAACCTATCTTTGTTGTATACTAAATTTTCATAAGATATGTGTTTATTTTTGGAATATTTCTGTTTCATTGACCTATTTGTTTCTTCCCACATTTGGTTTAATTATTATAGTTTTGTAAGAGTTTCCAGTAGGATTGGTCTGTCGTGAACAGAATATGTGTGTTTCAGGTCATATTGTAAAGTCCCTATAAATATTTGTGTCCCTTTTATTCACACAGCACTTTGTCCATATGCCCATAATAGATGCTCAATAAGAATGAATAACATATGCATACTTAGGTATAGTCTAAGAGAATTCAGTATAAGGTTTTGTATTTGCCATAAGTTATTTCAAATATTAAATCGTTGTAAGATTCCATTCTCATATCACCTCCACCCTGTCATACCCCATACATTTTCAGCTCATACACATTAGGAGCCTTGCATTTTTTTTCCGTTTTTTTAAAGTGTAACATTTTCTAATTATAAATA